ACATTATAGATGGCAAAAAGGTTATTGTAGTGGGGCAAATTAACATATCTACCATCTCACACATCTGCTGCTTTGTATCAGATATCTGGGTTTGTGTAGCCTAGAGGTGACACTGGTTCTTACATTTTTAAATGTGTGACACGTGAAGATTATATGCCTTTCAGATTTCAGTGTCTGTAAGTAAAGTTTTATTGGAATACAGCCATGCTCATTGGTTTACATATTATCTATGGCTACCTTCACTCCAGACTAGCAGAGTTGACTGGTTGTCAGGTTTATAGACCTATGCTTTAGGATGTTGACCAAAATTTAAATTCAAATTTAATTTTATATTTGTTACCACTGAATAGGGAGTTCTGATAGCCAAATATTTAAACGTGGCTTTAGAGTCAGGGCACCTGGGCCCCCGAACAAGCTGAGTGACTTACCTTTCCTGGTCCATAGTTTTCTCACCTGGCTAATGAGGGTAATGGCAGTGCCTTCCCGATTAAGAGACATGTGAAGCACTTCCTACCTGACAGTAAGCAAATGTTAGGTGTCGTTAATTGGCACATTGTAAACAGTTTAGTTGGCAGGCTTTTGAATAAAGACATTGGCAGAAAGAATGAGTGGACTGAAATTATTTGTATTTGTAAAAGGTTGATGAACTTGGTCTTTTGTTTCTTCAGTTGCTTTTATTGGCATTTCTTTAAAATAAAAATACGTGGGACATTAAGTTCTCCTGAGTGTGCCTGGAGAGCTGGCACGAAGCCAAAAGAAAGGTCTGGTTTGTGTCCTGCTTCCCAATCTCCCTGTTGGGACAGGTTGGTGCTGCTTCTGCTCCAGGTCAGGCCTGCCCAGTTGGCCTGGGGCTGTGGCCTCCAGAAAGAGCAGCAGTTTGGGTCCCAAAGCATCCTGTCCTGGCTGTGACCATGAAGATGAGCTTTGGGAGAGATTAGGTTTTTATGGCCCCTTCCCTCATAGTATCTGAGCCATTATCTGAGAGTTTTATAAAGTTGCAGACTTTTCATGGCAAACTAACTAGAAGCAGGCTGCCTAGGTAAAATTGTGCAGGCTCAAAATGTGGTATCTTCATTTGGGTTTCTCAAATGCTCATTTCATAGCTTCAGGTCAGAGTGGGCTTTAGCTAGAGGGGGTTTCTGTTGCAGAAACCTGCTGCAGGCAGCACCTGGCCTCTGCCCGGAGGCGGATTCGGTCTGGCTAGGTGAGCCCTCCTCACCATCCTGCGTGGGGGCATGTGGCCTCCGGCTCATTTTGGTGCCATAATGGTATTATCTTGACATTTAAATGTGCTCTCCAGGAGCCTCTGATTTCTACACAGTCCTGTAAGGTTTTGTTAAAAACATATAATAGTACCACCATATGCTCAGGCCCTCTCATTACATGATCTTCTAAAAACAAAAATATGCAACGTAAACACTCCAGATGAAACCCATTAAGTTTGCGTTCACTGCTGCAGTTTAAAAAAATGGCAGAAAGGTTAAGAAGTGGGACTTGGCTGGGGTGGGGGAGGGGCGCAGACCTGGGAATCACCACTGGAAAGCGCTGCCAGAGGAAGAAGCTGCTGCACACGGAAGTTTATTCCTTCGTGCCTTTAAAGGAAAACCAGCCTCTAAGTCCTCCGGCCACACAGCGGCTGGGCTCGATCTCAGGAGCGATAGGATCATTCCCATTCGAGGATGCAGCCAGGCGGCACAACCTGGACACTCTGGCCTTGTGAACAGGCGTTTCATTGTTTCTGCTAAACTGCTGGCTGTGGATCTCATTATGGAATCTTAACTGCTCAGGTCTGTGTGTACAAAGTAAGAGAGAGAGAGAGAGAGAGAGAGAGAGAGAGACTCTTCATTCTTTGCTTATAAGAGACTAAAACTGAGTTCTCAAAGCACGCTCTAATGCCTAGATGTTCACAAGACTGTTACTCGCGGATGGGCATAAATGCGCTATTAAGCAGAAGGCAAAATTTTTGACCCTCCTGGGAATTTATTGTAGTGCGTTTGATGTCACTAATTAACTCACTCTGTGTAAGCAGCAACTAGCAACTAATAACAGGCTAATAGAAGAAGCTTCCTGATGTTTTAGATTCTTAATTCAAGAAAGGGTCTTGGCAAGTGCAGGGAAAGTAAGGAGAGCTCCTCCTCTCTTTAAAAGGGAGAGCCTTGGGGGCCCTCAGGTACTGTTTTGTTTATAGATTCCTCTTCCCAGGTGCGTGTGGGGTTTGGCTAGTGCTTTCTTTCAGAAACTTTGTGAAAGTGAGTTAGTACCCTTGATTTGTGGTAGGACTTAATTGGTGTTCAGGGTCACGTTCACCCAGGTGACAGCAATCTTTGCTGTCCTTGTATTCAGTGGTTCAGAAGCATCCTCCCAGGAGCAGGGATAGGGTCTTCTTATTTGGGGGGCTTCAGGGGTATAAGAAAAATGAATGGAAACCCTATAGGCCAGAGCATGCTTGGTGAGGCCTCAGACAAGCTGATAGTGTTATCTGCTCATCATTGTTATTATCTTTTAAAAAAGGCAGGAGGCAGCTTGCCCATGCCATCAAAGCTGTCTGCTGCAGTGGGGGGAACAGCCATTTCAGGTTTTGCATTTTAATTTATCTAAATTCTCATCTTGCTCTCTTTGCCTACTCCCGTCTGTCCCAGGGAACTCTTTTGAAGTTGAACAGAGCTCTGAAAGCTGAGCAGGTAGGGAGTGAGGTGAGAATTTAGCCTTGGTTTGAGGACTAACCTGCTGCTCTTCATAGCAAGTAGTTTCCAATGTAGGGCCAGTGGGATGTTGGTCTAGGTTTTATTCTTTGGCAAAAAGAAGAATAGAAATGTTAAAACAATTAAGACACTCATACGACTCTGATGGAGGGCATTTTCTACTTTCTCTCCTTCCACCCTGGGACCTCCTGGTTGATGAAAGTAAGAAGAAGCGAGAAGAAAGAGAGAGCTACCCCATAATCTTTGAGGGAGGGTTGTCACTTGAATTTCTCCAAGGCTTCAAATCCTGCTGCAGCCCTCTCATGTTGCAGGCCTGGCAGTGTGGTTTAAAGGTTGCAAACAAAGCGGAGTGCTGTCTCCTGATCCATCCGGGCCCCTCCTTCTGTCATCCGTCATTGTCAATGGGAGATGTATGTGTAGCCGCACAAGGGCAGTGTCTGACCCCGAGGGTATTGGAAATGCTCTTAGAGAAGGCATTGTTTGCTCACGCCCTTTGGAAGCCAAACTCTAGACATTCTAGGGAGCAGCCTCTGGCTTAGGCAGAACTGCAGTCTAGCTGGAAAGAGGGAATATTCTGCTTTTAAAAACTACAGGAACTTTATTCCCCCTTCCTAACGTAATTCTTCAATGCTTATGAGTATACTCAGCCTCTTCCCTTTTTCATCTCTGATCTCTGGTCAAAGTCATGCAGAGAATTCTGAAACTGGGAAGCAAGGACTTGGGTTCCATTGGTTTTTATTTGAAGAGAGTCAAAATATAAATAACCCAATAAATAAAAGCTGACAAGATGCAACAAATGCATAAAAGGAAAAAAAAATGAAAATAATGCCCTTTGCAAACACAGCCAGGCAATTTCCTGGGAGAAAACAATGCTCTGTATCTTGTTCAGGACAGGAGGGTAGGGCCCCACACTTCTGGAAGCACATTAAAAACTCCAGAAACATACAAGCCACTGGTTGAGCCCCACGGTTCTGTGGGAAGGGTTCGCAGTGCTGAGTAAGGCCTGCATGTGTCTTGCCCCTCGGTGGGAGGAGGGTCGTGCCTGTGCTGACGACACTCCATGCTGGGCCCATGTCCCCCCATCGATTTGTCATTTGGGCCCCACTTGGTGTTTCCCAGGAGTTAGGAGTATGTTAACAAAAACTTAACGGGATAGGATCTGAGCTTTGAAAATTCCTGTGCATAAATATGAAAGTACTTTTTTTCCCCTTCTATAGGAGGTGGAGGTTAGGGCACACATCCAGATATCATTCCCCAAACCTACCTCGGAATAGACCTCTTGCCCTGTTCACAGGGCGGGCTGGATTCAGTAAGGCGTAGCTGGAATTTTCTTTGCATCACTTACTCACCTGGATCGGCAGCTGGGCCTAATACCTTCCTGCCTACCACCGTCGCTGGGCTGTTGTGAGGGTCAAATGAGGGGATATAAATGACGTCGGTAAAGGGCTATTTCTTTCTTTAGGGACAAGGAAGATGTTTGCTGGCGAAGGGCTGGAGCTAGTGAGCTCCATGTTTAGTGAGCCTCAGTCCTGTGTTTTAATTCATTTGAAGATGGCTTGATAGTATCATTCAGTATAGAAATTAGGAGACTTCACAAACTCAGACCTTAAATAGGGAAACGTGAATTTCTTGTTAGCATCCCATTGGGCCAGAAATCTGAGTATCCTGCCTTCTTTTCTCCCCCTTAACATCTTGTCGCCCCCTCCCGCCCCCCATCCGCCCTTCATTTTGGCACACTGCAACCTGAGTGCCACTTTTCTGGGAAAGCCTGATATTCTGACTTCAGTTTTGTAATTTAATGATGGAGAGTTTCCTTAGTAAACCAAATTTAGAGTCCTAGAATGCTTATCTTATATCCAGACCTTGAACATAAAAGGCATTTTATACCCGCAATTGTTCATTTAATGAGCAATTGCAGAGTGCAGGCCGGTTAAGGGATTGAGCTATATGCACTATTATTGCAAGAAGTATTCCGAAATACCAGAAATAGGACGTAAGCTCTGATCAGGGAGACTGCGAGCACAATTACCTTCTTTTCAAATCCTTCTGTGACACTGCGGGAGGAAAAAGGACTTTGAAACTTGAAAGGAAAGAGCTTGCTTTCAACCTCAAAAGCTAGGAGGAAAGGGCTCTGAAATTTGCTCAGAATTCCCAATTCACCATTAGCCTGTTTCTTCCTTTAGCCTCAAGGCATTCTCCGCTTTTTGAAAAGATGTTAAGAAATTCAGTCACAATAGAGAGCCTAGTTTTGAACATGTTTCACTCGGTCCATTGAGGTCTGGGCTCCATCCTTTGTGTGGGGTGAATTGAGCTGAGCGGCTAGCTGGTTGGAGAGAGGTGAATGAGGAGTCGCTGTGCAGTCGCAAATTCTGGCAAAGAAAAAAGCTCACCCCTTCCTTTATTTTACAATATGCATTCCTGTACAATCCTGCTAGTGGCAATATGTGGAGCCGTGCCTGTTCTTAAGTCAATACAGAGTACTTGGTTTATAGCAACTCTTGTTAAGTTTGTCTTGTAATTGAAGCTGCTGTTGACCTTGCTTGGGGACCATTTGTAAAACCGTTTATTTAGCATAAACTGAAATAATAAACCCTCCTTCTCTCGGGCTGATTGTGATAGGGTGACATTAGTTTGATTTAATGATTAGCCGCCTGACCCTTCTGCTGGAGAGAGCGGCTTGAATAGGGAGAGTTCACTCGGAAGCACTCCGAAAGAATACTAATGAGCTTGTTAAATTTAGCATGGCTCCAACCACTTTTAATTCCTCTAATGGGAGCAGCACTGCCTGGGAGAGGGAGAGGGAGGCAGAGAGACACCGAGAAGGTTCCTAGAGGGTCTGCACAGCTAGAGGCGGCTCACCAGGAGAAGTTGGCAGAAAGTAGCTAGCAGAGCCTGGGGACTGTGTTGTAAGTATTGTGTGTTCTCTTACACTCCGTGTCTTCTCGGTCTTGGGGCAAGAGAGGAGTAATGGTATTAAGATGGGATTTAAGGGAACAGTGGAAAATTGATGTTGGGGGGGGAAGGGGGCAAACACGTGTACTGTGAGCTTCTAATCAGCTAATTTTGTTAGGTGACAGAAGGTGTCCCTAGTTAGCGATGCCTGGCAGCGTTCTGTTTTTATATTGGAAGAATTGTCTGAAACTTTTTTCTCTCAAGTCCTGGGCAAAAAAAGAACTCGTTTCCTCAGTTACCAAGAGAAATTGTACCGGAGCAAGTGCACAAGAGTGCCTGTTCGAGTCCTGCTTCACGCAGCGGCGTGCTTATTACTTCCTTTATTACAGATGTCCTAAGCACTGTTTGCAATGAAGCGACTTTTGATTTTTTTTCTGAGTTTCTGGCACCAAGAGTGTCTGACTCAACGCCGGTTGCTTTTGGATGAGTTTGGGAAATCAGGGACGGTTTCTAAAACGTGATGCGCTGGGTACTCTCCGTTTGGGAGCAGGAATTTGTTAACTTCCTCTTGAGCACGGATGTACAAAAAGGAGGTACAAAGTGGGATTATGATGACAGTATTTAAAGTCTTTTTTTTTTTCCTGAAAGTTTTTAGTGAATTGCATGTTTCAGTTTGACCCCCGAGCTTGCGCTGTTAGACATAGAGAAGCACGAACAGTTGCCTTGTGTTTGGCTGTTAAAGTCCATTGGCAGATGCTCTTGGAGCAGTGGGCTGTTTGCTTACATTTTTGCAGCAGACTTCTGCTTGTTGCCATGGTGGACAGTGTGTTTCTGTCAATAATTTGGCCTGGCGTAGCCTGTCTGCACTGACTCTCAAACTTTATTGAACAACTCGGCTCGACTGAACAAGATTAGACAGCTTTCGTCTTTTGGCTTGCTGAAGTGGTTGCTAAATTTATAAGAGCAGGCAGGAATATTGCTTTGGAAAGTTTCCCTTTCATTCTATACGGAGTGCTTGCGAGCCTCCTAGCTGTTTGTGTTCTGGAGCGTGTGTACTGTCAAGTTTTCATCTGAATGCCCATCAAAAGCAACTCAGTCCGTGAGGTAAAACGTCAGGAAATATCTGCTGGAGTTTTGGAAGTGGGGGTGGGGGAGTGGTTGGGTGAAAATGTAGTAGCACTGACTATTGTATAAGTTAAGTCTCCTGGTGAAAGTTTCCACATTTAAAAAAAAAAAAATTCTTGCCTGCATTTAACTTTACTAAGGGAATAACTTAATTTTTTCGGTATTAAATTATTTGAACTCTGGTTACTTCTTGTTATAACTTTAATAATCACACTTGTTGGGTTAACTCTCATTTAAGAAAAACCATTTAGCTAAAAAAGCACCCCTGTTTCCACTCAGTCCCCTCCTCACAGCTAGCTCTATTCTCTCAGGAGGTTGGGAGGGGTGGGAAGACCCTCTGGCCAGACCATACTCATTATTCAATTATTCGTGAAGTTGGATTCAAATGCTTGTCATAAAGACATAGTTTCTAAGACGCTGAGTTTATTATAGGGCTGCAGTTTTAAGAGAAGAAAAGTTAATTTCTTCTAGGAAGATTAAGTCAAGGAAATCCTGTTTCAAACCTGGAACAGATTAGCAGAGCTCAGTTATTCATCTTTCCCGGAGAATGCTAATTATGAGCCACAGCCCCTCTGAGTGAAGCTTTTCTTGCCTCTAAATGAAGGGTCCCATTCTACAGAATTTGCACCTCAATGCTAGAAGTTCACTTCAGGTTGAAATTTGAAATAAAGTCTTTATACAGAGTGTAAATTAGTGGAAAATATGACTTTGGGCCATTTGTAGGTTATAGGAATTTTTATAAAACTGACCTAAGTTTTAGTGGTTTTGACTCCTTTTTGCTTTTACGTAACTGCAGAATCCTTATTTCATAGCCTGCAACCTTTCTGCTAATGAAGTACAAGGGTAGACTAATGCCTAAAAGTATTAGAATGGAAAATAAAAATTAAGGTTTTTTTTTTGTAATTTGTTTAAAAATTACCAAAAGCATGGTTTGAATTGCTTTTGTAAAGATCAATGTGAAAAGGTGGGATTACACCATTTTTTTGTTGTCGTTATTTGATAGATTAAATGTGTAATTTACCTCTTAATTATGGGGTTTGGGGTAAGGATCTGCACAAAACAATACTAAAATAATATTTCACAGTTACCTTGCAGTAGTCAGCAAATTTACTGTAGAGACTGAAACATATCTCATTGTCTATTCTATTTTGCAAGTCATTTGCTAGGCTAAAACAATACATTGCTTATTTTTCAAGTTTTACAGGCAGAAAAAAACTCAAGTCGCTACTTGTTTTAGGTAGTTCAAATTCTTAGTCAACACGAATAGTAGTTGTTATTTTTAGTTTGTATTTTTATGCTTGTCTATATTTATAATTCTTCTGAATTTGAACAGAGTTATGAAATGGCTAAAGCATAATTTTTCTGGGTTTTTTTTGGTCCTTAGCTAGTCATATCTACTTTATAGATTACTTCGAAGATAAGTTTGTGTATGGAATAAGATGTGTTCCAATCTGTTCATCTAAAATTCACAACAGTATTATTTATGCCTAAATAGGGTTTTTGTTCTTTATTTTTTTAAGATAAGGAATAGGAAACAGTTTTTAAATTAGATGTCTTAAGTGTTGCCAGGACAGCTTTTTTTTTCCAGAAGCACTTATCTATCAGAGCACAGTGTGTTGATTAAATGTAGCATTTGTTTGGGAGAACGCAGTTTAGAGCCTGTGTATGATTCTATGAGGTGAATCTGTCCACTTGTGGTGGGTTCAGATGGGCAGTGTGGTTTAATTTTATGCATCGGTTCTTTGGTCTGTTATATAATGGAAAGGTCATTTAATCACATTTGCAGAGAACCCTAGTGGATAGATGGGAAGTTCTTACAGATCCGAGGGGACTGGAGCATTAGGGAGCTAGAATATCAACTATATGGGGAATTTCTTCGAGCTCTTTCTTACGCATCTGAAGAAATGTATGGACTCCACCAGAGCACGGACAGATATCAACATCCCTCACACCTTCCTTCAGAGCCATCTCATACCTGGACTTTTAGTTTCACAGTTTTCCTCTGAGTTCTCAACTTTGCTGAATGGGCTTTAGAAGCTGGGAGTGTCTCCCAAGAGACTGTAGGTTTTCAAGATTGGCACCTTTATCCCTTGTCACCAATGGGTTTTCTGTTCCATATCTGGCTCTGCTAAACCTCTTGGTGGCTTACAAACCTAATTTAAACCAAACCAAACCAGGGAAGCTCTTGGAGTATTTTCCAACAGGCCATCCTCTGGGGAATAAAGACGCAACTGTCCCTGGAGCCACCTAGAACCTTATAGGGTGGCTGGACTTCACGTTACCCCAGAGCCCCAGCGTCCTGAGGTCGGCAGAGGGAAACTGCACACTCAGTTCCATGTGGGACCTCAGAGACTGGCAAGTCCCTGAGGAAAAGCCTCAGGGGCAGATTCCGCCAGAAGCCGGTGATGCTAATTTGCGGATCCTGTTTAATGGGCCCATTTCCTGCTCCCTTTGTCCTTCCCCGGGTATTTATGTATTTTGGACCCTCATTCATAAGCAGTTTTGTCTTGCAAATATCCCACCACAGGTGTAGAGCTTTCAAAGTTGCCCTGAATAAGAAAGAGACTTGCTTTTTCTTTTGGGGGGAGGGATAGAGGGAAACCTAATTAATTACTATTTTTTAATTGCTCCTCAAGTTGGCTTACTGAGCCTTTCATTTTCCTTCCTTCCTTCTTCAGAGGATGAAAGTCCTGGACAGACTTATCACAGGGAGAGAAGAAACGCAATCGCTATGCAGCCACAGAGTGTCCAGGGTCTCAGCAAAATCAGTGAGGAACCGTCAACATCGAGTGACGAGAGGGCCTCGATGATCAAGAAGGAGATCCATGGATCCCTACCGCACCTGGCCGAGCCCTCCGTGCCCTACCGCGGGACCGTGTTTGCCATGGACCCCAGGAATGGCTACATGGAGCCTCACTACCGTGAGTCCTCTCTGCCAGCTGGCACTTGTTCCAGGAGCCGCAGGGAAGGCCATGTGTGTGCGTGTGTGTGTGTGTGTGTGTGTGTGTGTGTGTGTGTGTACAGTGAGCAAGCTTTAGGAATTACTTGCCTTGCATAATTTGTAAAAAATGTTGAATTTTCTTTCCACTTTTCTCACTTCTCCTACTTCCTTTTCATTCTTTTTTCTTTATTTTTGGAGAGAGCCATTTCCTTACATCTCTAAGCACCTTCAGGCCTTCTGGAAAGTGGGCCATTTGTGGCTAGACCCCATGGACCTTTCCTGAGACCTAAAACCAGAGTTGCTCCATCCAAGTAGGTGCTGCAGGAGAAAAATTGGTTGATGTTGGGAAGTTATTGAAGTGGGCTGCATTAGAAGTCTTTAACAGCAGCTATTCCCATTTTTAATGATCTTTGATTTAATGATTTCAGCTGTTCCCGTTTTTAACGCTTTGTGGAAGCAGACCTCATTTAACAAATCAGTGCCGAATTCTTTAGTCTGGAAGATTTTTCTGTATGCTCTACTCTCCTTCATTGGAAGCTCCTTTTCAGCTCTTGTAACATTTAAGAAATTAAGGAGGACTTTGAACACAAGTATATGATGGTTTTCTCCAAAGGCAGAACATAACGAAAAAATGTATAAGGGTTGAGTTTACTTCGGGCCTGTTTCTAGTTAACAAATACAATTTGGTTGTGGCGTAATGAAGTTCACATTGAGGTGCCAAAGCTTGCAGCTCTTGATTGCAGATTTATCACCTTGCCAGGATACAGACTTGCCATTTAACCTTCCCGGCTCCAATTCCAGATGATCCATTGAGCTCCAGAGAGGGGGACTGGTTTGTGTTTCCCTTTTTCCACATCATTCAAAAATTTTAGTGTTTTAAGGCAAAAGGTCATTAGCCAGATGACTGATTAGTGAAGACAGCTGATTAGTGCATGTTTTTTTGCTCAAGAAAGTGCCCAGGATAAAAGCTAATTTCATCCCTTCATTAGTTGGCTTGAAGCAAAGGGGAATGCTCACTCATCAGATCAAAGGGCCTCGTGCAACCTTAAGTCTCAGCGACTCCTGCCCACCCCCCCAACCAGATTATATTGTTGGGAAAGATGGAAGATACATTATTTTTTCAAGTGGAGAGACCACTTTTAAAAAGTGTTCTTCCTCTGGAAGTTGGTTCCTAAAAAAGAAAAAAAAAAAAAAAGTGTTCAGAAGCGTGGAGGGAATGGCTTTATGGATTCTTGTGAGCTTTTAAAAAAGGCTACAACTTCTCTGTTTAAAAAGTGCTTATCAGTCCTATTGCTGCAGTGGTTGTTTCTATAGATACGGAAATAAGGAGGAAGGGTACCGGGCACATTCCTTCCCTCATTCAAGGTTTGTTTAGTTTTATTTTCTTCTTCTTTTCTTTTAGAAATGAAGGCTTAAAATGGTGTTGGCAGGATATGTTTCTGAGCACATCCCTAACTTTTCTACGTTGTATTTTTATTTGTCTTTTTAAAATGCCCTCCATGCAGAAAATGTAAGGACTGCTGCACACTTCCTACTTATATTTATGTGCCCCGAAGTAGACTTACTTTTAAAAAAAAAATCCAGTCTAGATTCTAAGCCACAAGGTCCCTGCATTGTTTCTGTTCTTATATGTGAACACAAACTTTTCCCATCTCATATTTATGCTTTGTTTTCTTTTCCAGATGCCCACTAATTAGTGAGGTATTTAATTAGTCAGGACAGCTGATGAGTACTTCTTTTTCAGCTGATGATAGTGGGCAGATAACCGTTAACTTTCTCTCTGTGCCATTCAGCTTGCAGCTTATTCTTGGTCCGTTTGTTTTAACGGTTTCCCCATTAAATCCTGTGCCATCATTTGAGGGCCCGGGCTCCCTCCACACCTGGGACCCTCACCCCTCTCACTGGCATGTGTATGACCCAACTCTTGGACCTCCAACTCAATAGCAACTAACCCTGGGCCCTGGAGGCATCTTAGGGGGATTTGGATTCATCATTGCCAATCTGAGGGTACTGCACTGTATTATGCTAATCAGTGTTAAAATTATGCAATAACTTATAAACTATATTAAATTGTCTGTAACCAAGTGGCAAATGTGATTTTGGCCTACCACCTTAGTGTACCCTGCAAATTGGCCTTAAATAAATTATATTATTATCTATACAATATAGACAGGGATTCCTGGAGATTGTACTGCTTGGCTCAGGACTCAGGGGATTTGGGTTCAAGTTCTAGCTTTGTCACATACTAGCTGTGTGACCTTGACCAAGTATGCTGATCTCTAAGACTCGTTTCCTCACTGTTGATTGGGAGTGATAGTGTGACTGCCTGGTCCAAGGTGTTCTTGTGAGAATTCAGTGAGGCGGCGCAAATAAGGTATTTAGTAAAATCTCTGGCACGTACTAAGTGCCTCAGAATCATTAAGGTAGTTCTTCTCTTCCTCCTCCTCTTTTGTTCCATCATCATGATCATCATCATCATGGTGTGATTAGTTCACACTTCAAACCAAGTCACATTTGTGAGCATTGCAGTTGGTTTGGTTTAGTGTAGACTGATGATTTGTGTTTTTTTTTTTTTTTCTGCCCGACCTGGTCACCCCCTCCCTGAGACCAGTATCTTATATAAAGACAAATTAGAAGTTGAGGGGACTGTAAGCCTTAGGAAGAGGGTTGGTGTGGTTAGAACTCTGCATTGTGACCTTGAACATAACCCTTTTTCAGTGACCCTCAGTAGACTTGACTATAATTTTTTTTTTTTTCTATTTTGTAAGTGAAGACATTGTAAAGCTTTTAAATGAGTTCGAGAAGTCTTACCATTTTAAATTCCTGGCAAAAAGTGTTTTCTGTAACCAATGCAAACAATACATGTGATATAATAAAAGGTACAGGATTACTTATTCACGTTAAATAATTTAAAGATATCCTAAACTAAGCCTCAGGGTTGGATAGGATACGACTTGACTTTTTCTGAGCCTTATTGGATTATTTACTTTTCTACTGCTATCACGAGTATTTTGAAGATACTTTATTATAAAATGTAGCCACCTCATATGGATTTAATTATCCAGGCAAAGCTAATGATTGATGGAAACTCAAGGTGATAAATTTCCTAAAGTTTTTTTGTGCTTGCGGAAATACCCCCCTTTTAAAGTAAGATGTACAGTTTTGATCACATTTGTTTATCTTGGGGCTGTAGCGTGTCTCGGTCTGGTGGCACCATCAGCAACACAAGCACACAGCAGACCTCAGTAAGAAGTTCAAGGTCCAGAAACATCTTCTGAGGCCATCCCGCTTTCTCCCTTGAGCTGTTTGCCAGCTTCATGGGGCCGTTGAGAAAAGACGCCTCTAGTCCAGCAGGCTGGTCGTGTGAACACTCACAGTGATTCCTTGGTTTTTCTGTGGTTGGAAAATGTAGACTTTCCAAGACGCCTAATTTGTGCTTCTATATATACTGACTTTGTATTTCTAAAGTGTGGGCAGGCTTCCTGTAAGACCGGAAAAGGGAAAACCGTTTTTTGTTTTCCCCTTTAGAAGGACATCTGTAAAATTTTTATTGCACAATATTTAGTTATCCTTGGGCATGCAATGCTGCATCTTCACAAATTGTAGTTAGGCAGAATTCGGTTTTGTGGGTTTGACTTGAAAATAAAAAGAAGAGAAAAAAAGAAAACCCAGGGATAGCGGGCACTTCAAACATCCACAACATATGTTTGGAATAAAATCCTCCCAGGGGGCAGGGGGGGATATTCTCTCACGAGGGGTTGCGTGGATGGGCTGTATATCAGGGTGAGAGGGTAGACGTTCAGGCTGCACGGCTCAGACTCTCGGCGTGGTGCTGACAGGCTCTCAGCCACAGGACGGCTGGCTCTTTATGCTTTGGGAGAGTGTGGGAGGGGCTGGGTTTGGGGGCCTGATGTGCTGGTACTGGAGTCAGGGTAAGAACCCTCATCTCCTGCCTGAGGGTTTCTCAGCAGTTTTCTTCTGCCTGTCCTTCGTCTGCAGCCAGGTATTTCAAACCCTCATCACCCCCTGCTTTCATTTACTGCCATGCATTCATTTTTTGATAAACTTGCAAAGGCAGGTGACATAATAGTTAAAGCATTCCTGTTCCCTGGCCGACACTTAACTTTTATTCTCTTCCCTTTTACAGAAAACATGTGTTTCATTGTCTTCCATCTTAATGTAAAGAGTCTAGTTTTCTAACTAGACTTTCTAACTAGTTTTCTAACTAGTCTAGTTTTCTAACTAGCAGGGATCTTTGTGCGAAGTTTCTTGGATTCACTAGCCATATCATGTAGAGCCTCCTCTGGTTTTGTTCAAAGGGGCAGAAGGGTGCCTTTTTTTTTTTTTTTTTTAATTTCAGGTCTCTTTTATAATTTTATATTTTTTTTTTTTTTTTTTAATTTCAGGTCTCTTTTATAATTTTATAGTTGTATCAAGACTGCTTTTGTTCTGCCCCTAACCGCTCCCAAGCAGTAATTCCTCATGGAAAATATGATTCAATCCTTCATGCAAATGCTTTGATTGAAAACATACCACTGGTATTCTTCCGTATGTTCCCCAGCTCAGATGACAGAACTATTAGTTGCTAATTAGCAAAACCTGAGGAATTAGCTTAAAGAAAAGAAACTGAATTTTTAATTGGCTTGCATCTATTTTCTATGGAAAGCTGTTGTGCTGAGCCCACTTGCATTCTTGTGTGCTAAAAAAACTGCATGCAAGATTTTTTCTACCTGTCTTTATATTAGGTGACTTTCCCCAAGAAATACATCTTCTGAGTGAGAGAAGAGGAGATGTATATTTTACATATTTAACAGGTGCACCTGCTCACATTTCTTTTACTTTCGGGGTGTCATCTTGAGACTGTGAGAGACAGAAATGCCTACAAGGCACAAATGAACAGTTTTGTGTTGACCAAACCGCAAAGGCAGTGACAGTTCCCTGAGCACATAGTTCCGTTCTCATCCAGACTGTCTTTTACCT